AGTTCACTGAATATATAATGAAATGTGTGCATATTGAATTAGACTGTTGAAATTATAAAAGGAGGTGTTTAACAATAACTTCTTTTATCACCTCTTTTACATCTGTTGGACACCTTGTCGGGCCTTGCCAAAGAGTTTGTACCTATGGAATAAATAATAAATTACTAACAAGATTTTGACCTATGAAAAGGCTTTAACAATAATTAATATTGGAACTACCTTTCTATTACTGTTTAAATGAATGTGTGACTTTTAGAAACAGTTAGTGTGGCTGGTCAGAATCTGACAGAAGAGAATGAGCTTTCAAGTAATTAAACCTTTAGGTAATGTAATCTCAATCTAATTTCATGGTCAACATTTTCTTTTGTCTATTGTATTGCCTACTACAGCTTTAGTTTATTTTTTTTTTGGCTTTTCTAGGCTGAATCTTGTTGGCAATTCATAGTTATTTTAGCAGCTAGAACATCCTTGTCCTATTTAATTACTTTACTGTATAAGTGCCCAGTATAATAGCAGATTTTTTTGTAAGAACTGTTTCCAGAGTGGATGATATTTATTTTTGCCATTACATTTTATCCATTTTTTATTATTCAGTCTTTAAGGTCATCCAGTTCTCGCATCTGTCTATCTCAGGTATCCTTACCTTTAATAATGGGAGATATTTTTGACATTTGTAAGTGCAACATTCAGAATCAGTACATAAAAATTCTTGTTCCAGCTCCTAAGCTACTAAAACAGTTGTCCAGGATGTCCCTTGTAAAGTCTCTTTTCAGAGGAATTTGTGATGACAGAGATTAATCTACTCATAACAATGTCAGAAGGGATCCATCATGTACCTGTGGGTAGGTTTGCCTTCTTTTGAGCTTTAATCCAATAACTTTGTTCTATCCTTTTGGTCAGATATAGGTATGCAGATGTTAGTGTTTCTCCTCAAGTCAATCCTATTTGAACCTCCACATGTGGAGTATTGTTTAAGTTGTAAACTTTAATATTATTAAAGCATTACCTAAATCACAATTGAAAAGTTTGGGGAATTAAGAGCCATTGATATCCTCTTTCGGTTTCTACTATTGGAGAGTTTGGTGAAATAGTGATGGTTCCTACTTATATTTATGAATATTTCTCTTAGTGCCATATATCTAACTGCCTTTACTGGCAGACATCCTCTTGAGTCTCCAGCGTATTTCTGACTATTGCTGTTATCTATTTGCTGCAGGTAAATTGTTCCATACTGATCTAAGCAGTCTCTCTGTATGTATGTTTTATCCTTTTGTGCACTATAGCTAGATCTTACTGTTCCTTGCACTATGTGTATGAGACGTAAGACTGATATAGACCCATATATGAAGATTTTCTTTTTTTTTCTGAATAAATATGAGAGCATCGAAATTACTGTTGTAAAATGTGTCAACTTTTTTTATAAACATTAATCCACTCTATTTTTCTTTATAGAATATTGGTTTACCAATTTTCTGGTAGAGAAGTCTTACAGACTTTACTAATAGCTACTGATTTTTTTTTTTCATATGACTTGTATTCTATTTGTTCATATTCTGGATCAAGGGTAAAATGTATTCTTTGCCAGAATGTAAAATCACATAATCTCCTTCAACTTCTACTCCACAGAGAGCATATATTAGATCTGACTTTGAAACATAAAATGCACACTGTCTTTGCAAAAATATTTTACTCTCATCTGACAGGGTTACCCCATACAGTTAAGCATGAGTGTTAAAACAACCACATTTCCAATGCAAATTTTGAAAGGAAAGCTAGGAGTGTAATGACAGTATCTGTGAGAAAATGCGGTAGGAAAATTATGTGAATTAAAGACTAAGATTATCCTCAGTGGCAAGCGGGATAATAAAAAACCTACATCGTGATATGCATACTGAAAATCAAATGAAAACATTTTGGTTTGGGTGAATCAATAAACAAAATACCATTTTCTAGTCACTACAATGAGTCTGAAGCTGCAAGGTGCTATCAAGTGATTTTGTTCTTTTGTTTTATAACTTCAAACCTCTGAATGTTAAGCATTTATTAATACATGCGTAGCCTTCATTCCTATGTCTTTTAAATAGTAAAACTGAGATCACAACGCCCTGAATGCCTATGAGCAAGAACCAAAACAGGAAGCTGATCTTTTGCCAGGTATTTCACCAGTTCTTAACCTGTCTCAGTACCATGTCACAGAAAAGGAAATATACAGGAACATCTCTTCAAAGCATTCATAGAGAAAAGCAGCGTGTATGATCATGCTGCCTTTGACCAGCCAGTAAGTCTTCCTTGTACTCCCTCAGGCAGGTCATGAACAGCTGAATATGTATTTACCATCTGGTACCATACCTGCACTCCTCACTTCAGCCAATAGCATAGCTAATTCTAGTTAGTTACGAACTTTAAAAGATAAAGGTAATGGAGGATTCTCTTGGGAAAACCAGTCCATGGTTTAATAGATCTCATGATCAGGAACTGTGGCTTATAACTTATCCTTTATTAATTTCATACTATTAACTATTGTGATGTCTCTTATGTGTTTAATTTTGGCTTCCTCAGAATGTTTACTTCCTTCAAATAAGCAGACACTTGTACAAAACCTTTTTGCAGACATTGTTCAGATAAATTAAATACAGTATGTTAAAAGGAGTGTGAAGTTACTAGGTCTGTTCAGTGATTCTTTTTCTACCTGTGGAATTAATTTGACAAGTTTGACTTAGATTGAATACCAGGAACCTAACTAGACATGGGCCAGTAGCGGCTAGGAATAACTTCTTTCTTCAGAGCAAAACACTCCCTTTCTTTGCTGTGCAAACAGTGTATTATGGCTTTTCAGCTAAAGATCATTCAAGATCCATTGTAGGTCATTATTCTCATTCATATGGAAGTTACTGACAATAGCATACCTTGATTACAAAAATTACATGACAGCGATATGCACTGGTTACAAAAAATATTCATTGTTAAAGAGCCTTACAGTAAAAAGAAATTATAATGTAAGTAAAAATACGGTTGAGTGTTCAAGGCTATTTCCGCACATAAATGGACAAAATCTCTGGATTGAGAAAGGATCAGACACTGTTATCCTTTTTGTACTAAATACAGCCTGAAAGCACGAGGAATTCTATTAATGCCACTGAGACCATCTGTGGAATACGGATTTGTTTAGGGTATAACCCACATAAATCTATAGACCTAATCCTAAAAATGTACTTTTCACCATCTCCAACAACCAGTGCAGGTACAGTTCTCCCTTTCTCTATTCCTGTCTGTGGAGCAAGTTACTAATATGTACAATCTATCTCAAATAAAAGTTATTTTGTCACATCTGTTTAAGAGCCATTGAACACAAATGTTAGAGTCATTAATAAAATGTTTTTACTTGTACATCTTTTGGGGCTGTTTTGTAGCTGCTCACGCATACCGGCGTCCTAGCGTGAGATTGGCAAGAACCAGTTTTTCCTCATGAAGCAGATGCTGCTTCATCTGCACCTGGTCGGGTGACTCCCCCCCGTATTTCTCCAGCTATGAATATCATAAATAATGTTTCTGCCCTTACCAGACCTCACTCTGGAAGTCTCTCCTGACTTTTAAACTCCTCTACATGTTGTATTTTTAGCTGGCAGGAATTTAAACTCTGCACTAGCACCTTTCCACTTAACCTACATGCCTTGGTTTTCTTCAGGGATAATCAATTGTTGCAAACATTGCAGAGCCTATATGTTACACGCTTTTTTGGGTTTGTTAGGTTTTGTTTGTTTGTTTGTTTGTTTGTTTGTATAGGATTTGCTTGGCTCTCTGTAATTCAGTAGCTGTTACCTAAAATCTTATTTAAACAAAAGGGGATGAGAGGAGGGAGAAGAAACATGTTGCATAGTTTTCTTTATCCTGATGCCAGCTTTTAGCTGTGGAAATGTATCGGTTGATTACATAGTGTAATTTCTGTAAAATAAGTACCTGATGGAAGAAATGTGAATAAAAACCAGGCAGGTTGTTTTTTTTCAGACAGACCATTTTTGATGTCTGACCATGTTTGATGACCCTCAGATCCAAAATTGCTGTTGGGTAGTAGTCTAAGTAAGAGTAAAGAAATATTCGGAGAGTGCTTTGTACTCTTTCTGGAATGTTTGGAAAAAATACAGTGGGAAATTAATTTTGAAGTCTGACTTGAGTCTTGCAGAATGATTCAGGATCATTTTCAGAAGTGGGTTAACATTAAAGCATTTTATTATCTTATTATCTAATATTATACATAAAGTTTTATAACCATCAGCTTAGCATTTTAAAGATTCTTAATATTGTTATAAAAAAACTGACTACTGCAGATAATTTTATATTCCATAATAAAAAAATAAATCTGTGCTGGTAAATCAGTCATCCTTTAAACTCTTAATAAAAGGACAAATGCCTGTATTTGGATAGCATTTTTTTCGAAGTACAGTAATATATAATGTGGTCGATTGCAGTATTTACGTTGAATATTGATTCTAATTTGAACCGATTTCTTTTTTCCTATCTTCTTTGCTAAATTAAGTATTGGTTTATACATTTTCCAATAGCTCCATTAAAAACTAAAATGGCAGCAAATTCTTGCTGATGTTGTAATAGGTCTTTATTTTTACACTGATAGGAAAAGACATTTGGTTTAGTTTTATCATCCTAAGAACAATAAATAGATGATTCTGTGTGCACTTCTGACAATTGTATTAGAATATCTATGGTCTATTTTTTAACACAAGTATATTTATATAATGAAGCATTATACAAATACGCATGTTTAACTTTGGTTAATGAATATATTCAACTGCAACAGCAAAAGTCTGTCTTAACTTTGGAAACAGTTTAAAGCTTATGGATGACAGAATATTTACAATATCCAGTTGTGACATCTACTCCTCCTTTTGTACGTGTTGGACCCAAGTTTTCAGTACCCAGAAGGGGACCTAGGTATCCAAAGCAGCACAGTTTGCATTCAGGCACCCAAATAACCAGGAGATTTTCAAACAGGAGGCTCCATCCCCTCACCTCACGACATGCATGGTGTGATTTTTCAGAAGACCTCTGAGTCCAAGATCTTCCAGAAAAAAAAATTACTTGGACTTTTTGTTTTTCCTGCTTAAATATGGGATGATCTCCTTTTTAAAAATCCACAGTTGTTTTTCGTTGCTGAGATTTGGGAAAATGAAGCAACAAACCAAAGAGTAACTAATCCCCCACACATCTATGGGAAGCGTACATGCCTGCAAGATGTTTAAAGTGAGGTCCCCATTCTGTAAGGTAGTCATAGCTCTGATCCGCGTCTGACGTGTTTGAACCTAAAGAGCTGAGGGATCCTGCCAAGGAGCCAGTCCCCTCAAACGCGTAGGTCTGAAGTGAGTCGTATGGAGGAGCACTGGGATCTGTATTTGCTTCTTCAAGCTTTTCTGAAATGAATTGCCTGAAGATTGCGCTGTCAGGGCCAACCTGCAGGGACTGTCTGTAGAGGCTGTGGATTTCTGCGGTGACCTGCTTCCGAGGTTTGTGTGTTCGCATGACCGTGCGAGTCCTCAGTGCTGAAATATCAAAGGCTTCTGTGTCCTCCTCACCGCCTCCTTCATCATCATACCTGACAATGTTCTCTCTGAATTCTTCTGTTTTCTCTGAAAAGGGAGACTTCTTCCTCTGCTGCCTTATGGCTACAATTGCCAAAAAGAACACTGAAGAAAAGAAAAGAAGGAAAAGAAGAAAAGAGAGGAGAGGAGAGGAGAGGAGGTGAGGAGAGGAGAGGAGAGGAGAGGAAAAGAAGATAAAAGGAGAAAAGAAGAGAAAAGAAGAAAAGAAGAAAAGGAAAGAAGAGAATAGAAAAGGAAATAAGAGAAGAGAAGAGAAGAGGGGGGGGGAAGAGGAGAGGAGAGGAGAGGAGAGGAGAGGAAAAGAAGATAAAAGGAGAAAAGAAGAGAAAAGAAGAAAAGAAGAAAAGGAAAGAAGAGAATAGAAAAGGAAATAAGAGAAGAGAAGAGAAGAGAAGAGAAGAGAAGAGAAGAGAAGAGAAGAGAAGAGAAGAGAAGAGAAGAGAAAAAAGAAATGAAAAGAGTAGAAAAGAAAAGAGTAGGACAAAGCAGAAAAGAAAAAAGAAAAGGAAAAAGAAAAGAGTAGAAAAGAAAAGAAAAGAAAAGAGAAAGAAAGGAAAAAATAGACAGAACCAGAGACTTTGAATGTGCTTGGAAAGACTTTAAAAAATGGTAGAGTGTCTTAATATCAATGCTATTGCAAAGCGAAGCAATCTTAACAAATTTATAGAGCTGTAATTTTTACAGATTTTATGGTTTTGAGATGAGCATAGTATGTGGTGGGAAAATGGCCACAAAGGGACTTATAAAGCAGGTGAATGAAATGGAGCAGTTCTTTTGGTAGATGGGAGTTTGGAACTAATGGAAACACAGGTTATGCTTTTTGAAACTGCTTTGGTTTATCACATAATATATCAATTTCACATTCAGAATTTAAATTCTTAATCTCTCACTCTCTCTCAGATCAAAGTCCCAGGAAGATCAAATGAAAACTGAAGCAATGAGTGAGAGATTCTCCTCAGTTGATTGAGTCATTCTGTTCCATAGACTATGCAGGGTGTGGTTCAATTATGTTATGCCGATTTGGAAATTTGAAGACTACCACTAAATTTATGTGACGTTGTAGTAGTACTTATTACCAAGGCCCATGAATCAGAACACCTTGTTTCTCTCATATATGAAAGCTTTTTAAAATTTTTTTAATTATTTTTTAATCCTACCTCATTTCATTTTTAGTTGCACGATCCTTTTGAAATAGTCTATGACCTTCACAGAGGTGAATGATTTCAGTTTTTATCTAAATCTTACTGCAGTTCTATTTAATAAGTAGTTTGTGGACTGGAAATTTTTACTTGGCACATAACATGATACAACTACCAACAATTTTACCTCATGTAGGGATATAAGGGACCTGAAGTAGTGATTTATTTCTATATATTTACTGCATATTTTTTCATTTGATTTGGAGATACCATCACCAAATTTGAAATCATTAAAAACAAGAATTTTTACAATGTTATTATATATTTACAAACCCCAGATAGTGTCAGCTCTCGAAATGCTTTGCATGGTGAGCTCTTCTAATGGTACACATGTTGATATGGGAAAATGGAAAAAATGAAACTTTAGATTTCAGATATAACTGGCAAACATATTATGTATAGAATATTTTATTGCTACATTTTAAATAATTAAAAAAACACATTCAAAGGTTTAATGCATTTAAAATATGTGCGTCTATAAAGAGTGTGGTAGATTAGTTTCTTCTTCTTTCTGATTAATACATTTATCTATATCCCTGCTTTGACTTTTGTGATATGCATAGACCCAGTAACACCAAGGGTTTATTCCATCTGGAGAAAGGACCTCCCTGCAAGCAAACAAGAAGCCCTTGATGAATGATTCCACTGATGGCCTGGATAATGCAGTGATACAGTTCGTCTGATCCTCAGTCCCTTAAGTGCATAACTCAAAGTGACCAGGTTCAGATACCCAGCAACACTCAAAGAAAACTTGAAATGCACACTGGCCTGCCTGCAAGCTCAGGCTGACTGCAAGGTCTAAGGCAGGGACTTCCATCTGGGGGGCTGCTTTCCAGAGACACTACTGAAGATTTCTCTGGACAAGGAAAGCTCAGATTTAAATAAGGTGACTCTGGAAGTGCAGGCAAGTCTAAAAACCACCAATTCAATCATATGTTTCTGTTCTCTCTGTTGGAAACTAGGAGATGGAAGTAGGGGAACTAGTGCATCCCTGGACTTTGATATGGAGTCAAGAAATGGGTGGTGTCTGACCAAGAGTACTTCCATCTAGACATAATAATTATGAGGTACCCTTCCATTGTTCTCATCCTTGCTCTATCTGTTCAATGTGTTTGTAGGGATAAATAAAAACACATGTATTTTTTTGTAGGCCATTCTGTTTCTGCAGTTTCCTACAAGTCACCTAATCTTGAGAGTTTAAAGCCATATGAAGATGCTGACTCATAATTAACAGATATGTGTGCTGCCTATGGGACTAAATTATAGGCTTCCATTTTAGGAGAAATTTCAATGACATTCAGTCAGGAGGTTAACTCCACAGAAAAAATTAAAGCCAGTTTCTATTACTTATGCTGAGGAAAATAAGCCATAACTTTGTGAACAGAATGGAGAATATGGGTGATTTTTAACTCGTTAAATTTCTTTTTTCATTGGTGTAAACTCAAAATAATTCCATTAGCTTTATTGGACTTGTTTTTCTTGTCTTCCGTTGCTACTATAGCAGATCAAAATACAGCATCAGAATAGAGCTGCAAGCCTCCATTTTCAAGCCTCAGCTTTCTTGTAGTTAATGATGATATGCTTAGTGTTGTATGCTGTTATTTATAGACTAGTAGAGGTCATATTGTATATGTATAATGAGGGTAGAAAAAAGAATGTTCTTTACCTAGATATCCTTCATACGGCCAAAAAAAAAAGGGTTTACTTAAAATTGTGTGTATTTCTTTCACTGATATAGGCAGTTGAAAATATTAGTGCTGTATCTGCTCTCATTAACAAATACATTGAAAGTAATTTTCACTGAAAGATTTTGTTTCCTAAAGCAATGTAATTTCCGTTATTATTACTTCTTTCTTTCTGGACATTATATTTGTATAACTAGATATTGTGCTGCAGTTTTCTTGTTTCAATTCTGATTTTATTTTTCCTTTTTTTTTTTTTTTTTAGAATTTTATTGAAAAGCAATTTATGCTAGGTTTGCACAATTTATAATGATGATTTGATAGCACACTGCTTAGTTAAATCCTAATTCTATCTTCCTTTTCTTTCTTTGGAGTTGTTTATTTCTAGTTTCATTAGTGGAAAAATAGTTTTACTAACATAATCCATCAATCATTTTGTGGTACTTTTGGAGACGGCATTTTATGAAACATACTGCTATGTGGCATAATATGGATATGCCATATTATTACACTGGCAACAGGGATTTGGAAGTCTTTCCCGGTTACTTTATTAGCGTCAGCTTGAATGTGGTCTTGAGGCCCGTGACCATCATCAGTGACCAAGCTCTAACGTCAGTCATTTTGCCTTGGAAAACAAACCTACCCATCTCTATCACTTTTTTCCCCTGGCCTCAGAAACTACCATACCTTAGCCTCACTACCTCAGACAGGTACAGAGTTCCAGGATTGATATTTAAGTTTTAGTGAATGATTAGTGCAGTGTGCCTGCTGTTATAACGTGTCTGGGTCATCAAATCATTCATCAAACACTGTAGGAATATCCTTTTGCTGAAAAAAAAAGGTAAATGCATCGTAGCAGTGATGATAGCTGTGTGCTTCCCCAGGTGAAGCAGCTGTTTCCCCGAGTGCTCCCACTCCAATACATCTGGCAGCAGCTGTAGCCCCATGCAGTGCCATTTGCCAGCTATGCACGACCCTTTGCAGAGGTACACGCACAACTCCTGCGCTTTTCAAATGCTCTCAAACCCACTGTTCACATCTACAAGCTCCCAAGTGTAACGGACGTTAATTTGGTGCCTCTTGAGAACAAAGAGGAGATGTCCAACATTTGGAGAAAAGGCTGTTGGGAGATGCAACCTTATTAGCTGACAGAGAAATTCCCTGTTTGTTTCTGGAGTTGTTTTCTGGGAGTATCAGATTCTCTTTTTCTTGTATTATCTTTTATTGATCCTAGCTTTACATTTGGCATACCTAAGGCAGAATGAACGGGGTGTTGCTCCTTTTAATATATTCTTATACTAACCAATTTTCTTGTGTAATGCTGTTTCAGCTTTACCTGGGCTCAATACACACTTTAGACTTCCAAACCTTTATTATTAGCAATGCCGGAGGAGCAAGTAGGATCATGACTCAACTAGAGCCAACTTTTAGGACATTGGATTAGAATTCAAATTTTTCTGAAAACTGGGGGAGAGGGGGAAATTATAGTTAAGAAAACAGAAAAGAAATGAAACATTTGCCTTATTGCAATTTTTCTCAATAGCACAACACCTCCAGCCTTCCAGCCAAGAGAACATCTTTGTCACTTAACCAAGCCCACTGTAAAGGGAAACAAAGTCATTTCTCACACTTGTACTTACCTAGGAGTATTAGTATGCAAGCCAAAACAGCAACTAAAGCTTCTGTGCTGAGACCCATGGAATACATGAAAGCTCCGTATCGACAGTAGAAGGTGTTAACTTCGGTGTCACAGTCGCAGACAGTGATGGTGAGAGTATTTGTGCTCGTCAGCGGTGGGGTTCCGTTATCCAGAATTAAGATTGGCAAGTAGAAAGAAAACTGCTCTTGCCTCCTGAAGCCACTTTTTGCTGTGAAAATTCCAGCTGTGTTATCTAGAAGATAAATTATTACGCATGATACGCATTTGTCACTTTTTAACAACAAAATAAAACTTCAGTAGAATCTGACCTATTTAAAAACAGTGTTACTGTGCAAAGTTACATATTAAGAGAGTTAAAAAATTAAAACCACACACTGACATGTGGTGGTTTTTTTGTGTCAATTGTGAATAAATTGCATTGATTTTTGACATATGTATTCCAGGAGCCGTAATAAAAATTGACCTAGGAGCTCTGTTTTTAATGTTCAGAGCTAAAAAAAATCCCACCGTGTTCAGTACCTGACACCTGCTCAGACTAATTAATTGGTTCTTAAAATGGTTCCATGTTACCAGCTGCTACCAATCCAGCAGTTCACAGATGAAATATAGACAGTTTACCAATCAAAAGGCTTCAAAAATATGTCTGGCAGCACAAAGAGAAAGCAGGTGGCAAGGGAAAAAAGAGAAAGCAAGAAAAAAGTCCATTAAAATACTCTTTTATTTCTTTCCCTGACTCAAAAACTGGAGCTAGCTGAGCTTCTACTGTCTAAATTAGCGAAAAGTTGCTAGAGGCTCTCACCTTGCTTTGTATTTAACTATTAGTGCTTAGAAATCAGTCCAGTACAAAACCCAGTAAGCATCTTCAGTTCAGCTCCTGCTGCATATCAACTAACTCAAATCTGAAACTCAGCTTGTTACAAAACAAATTAGCCCCGTCTAAATCTGTGTATAATGGAAAGAAGAAAAAATCCATAAATATTTACATGTCAGAATTTTTTACCATGGCAGGGTGAATTACGGCATGTGTGCATACGTGTACATAGGAGAAAAAAAGTATTTCTTCCATTATCTGTATAATACATCTATCCAGTCTACTGAAGTTAACTCCCTCATGTTTAAGTTCTTCTAGGTTTCTGTCATAGCTCAGAAAGTAACTCGGAGATAAAATGTTCCAGATCTGTGGAGTCACTTTTGCCTTTGCCTAGGACTACCCCAATTCACCCAGCCATTTCTCTGAAATGCAGCAGAAAGGGAGTTTGAGAGCTGATCATACCATACTTCAGAAGATTTTTTTTTTCCCGTCAGTAGCCACCAAAAGGAACTGGCCATATTGCCATGGAGGTGGCTCTGCTGGGGCTTTGCGCGGGATGAGGAGAGGTGGGAAAGGCTCAAAACTTACGCACAATTTGACCTTAACGTTACAACTTATCTCTTCCTGGCACTGGGTGAGAGGTCAATGAAGCTGGGAAATGAAATATATATTAATATATTGACTGACTTTGGAGACGTCGAGAGAAGTAGTTCGCTGTTTAACATGGTCTGAACTTTCCAAAACTTATTTCCATTGATTTATTCACCTAGCCAGAACATTCAAATAATTAACAAAGTCAATAAGAACAATGTGTGTTTTAACTGAGTCTGAAAAAGCTTTTCTCTGTAGTCTCAGCAGACTGACTCTAAGTGGTCATCTTCCCTGAAATTCCATCAGATATTGCACTTATGTTTTCACTGCAGACGGGTTTTGCTTGATACCTCTGTATATCACCCTTTCAATAAGGGTTTCAATCAATATCTGTTCTGAATAACATTAAAATACATATAGAAGACATTTGTATGATGTCATCAGTAATCAGCATATGCAGTTTAACATGTATTAGGAAACAAGATTACGTTCCTATCTGTGTTTATAATTTTGGTCTTGCTGAAGTGATGAAGTAACAGAATGTGATGAAGTAGCAGCAATCTGCTCTTTCTATCGATCTTGTTTGTTAGATAAATAGATAATTTTAACAAGAAAGTTGGTATTTCCCACCGTATCCTACATTAAGAAAATAAATTTTGAGGAATATCAGTGTATTTTTCATCTCAGCATTTTTTCTTTCCTTGAAATACTGTCTTTTGCTGTTTATGTTACTCAACTGAAAAAGGAAAATAAACTGTTTGGTACTTCTGATTTATTGTTTTTAAATCCACCTCATGACATGTTCATATCTTATAATGACAATTTTTATTTAAGTGGAAATTTTTTACAAAGTTAGTGATGTCAGGACCACTAGAAGCATGCATCTTTCATTAGGAAGGTCTTAAAGAGCTACATGAATGACACTACCTTGATTATCTTTGACAGTAAAGTGTGAGTTGTTTGTGGCCTCCTGAGCCAATGAGAAGTAAAAATGGTGACCTTCTGCTGAATCGTCTTGATCCACTGCACTGATGCTTTGAATTAGCTGGAAACACAGGTAAACAGCAATGTTTAAAAATACAATTTACTTGTCCTTTAAAACAATGAAAGGACAAACCAGGCATATGAAACTCTTGATGCTAGAGCTGTGATCTGTGAAGAAGTATTGAATGCATGTTATGCACTCACAAATATACACCTTCTATACTCAAAAAGGCTTATCGAGACTCGTATTCTGCAAATACTCCGCTTTGATTTTTCATATATTTGAGAGAGACAGGCATTAAAATCTTGAGAAAATGTAGAAGACTTTCTGGATCAAAAGACCAAGGGTAAATGAAGTTTCCATAAATAAAAAAGTAATCATATATATAGTGTTTTGTCTTTTTTTTTTTTCAAGGTGAAAAGTATATTATTCTACTTTTGAACAAACCACTCTATACAAAACCCATTTCCTTCAGTCCACAAACATGTTGACATCATTCAATTGATATATTGTAGCTTCAGTAAGAGAGATATGGTGACAAGTTCATGTGCTGAATTGTTGATTCTGGATATTATAACAAATTGATTATGGAACTTCTTGCCTGCTCTTTCTCAAGAAAGCAAAATAGCCTTCATTTACAAATATGTCAAATCAGATAGCTCCGATAAGATGAAATAAAAAATAACAGTTATCATTCAAAAGGATATCTTTCATCTCTGTAAATAAACAACCACACTACAGTTGACATAATTAGCAGTATTTCTGCTTTAAAAAAGCTTATATTTGTTACTTTTATCAGTAAAAACTTAATGACGCAAGCATCAGCATATATTAGTAAGTGAATATCATCACTGATCAGGAGGAAAGCAAACTGATGCAAGCCCACCAACTTTCAGAAATACAGTGTCCAGTTTGAACTTGGGCTCTATTTTACCAGTCATCTCATATCTTGTAGATATTTGTACCCAAGGGACTTGAAGCCTTAACTTTCCCCAAGCCAGAAAGCACCTGAATGCTACGAGCGGCGCTTTAAAAGCAAACCAGTAAGTCAACAGAAGCAACTACAGCTTTCCATCTGTGCCTTTGAAAATTCTTTCCTGATTAAACCATTTTTCAGTCCAAGATCTAAGACTTTAGTGCACACTCTTTTTCTTTTCAAGCAAGCTAGGTTTGATGGAATCGTCACAGAAAAGTGCGAAATGTGGCTTACAGCCCAGCAGTTTTGTATTCTTAGCATTGTTCCCTTTTAATATATGAAATTTACTTCAAATCTATATTTTCACTCTATGGAAAAATGAGGACCCTTGAGATTTTTTTATTGCCACTAATGAGACGAGTGGTTGTTCAGTGATGTGGCTGGTGAGAGTGTACAAAGGATGAAGTTTCCCAAGGGATTTTTTTTCCATTTCCTCAGAACAAACAAAATAGCTAAGGTGACGCAAATACAATTATAGGCATGCAGGTCAAGAAATCAGTGAAGAGCAATAACTGATCACTAATATTACTTCGATAATAAACCACAGGCTTCATTTTTATAAGGAAATACAGATCCCAGAATATGCTCAGTATGAACAGCGATAGAGACAAAATTATGCATCCAGTCTAAAACATGAACCATAGCACATTTTCATGATAATATTCTGCCATATACCTCAAAAAATTAAAAAGGGCTATGCTGACCTTTGTTGGTAACATCTCCATGGCCACAGCTGAGAAAAAGCTTTGTATGGATGTGTATTTCTGTCCCTACAAGGCAGGGTCTATCAAGCTGGACTGAATACTGTGTTACTGCATAGTAATCTACAAAGACATCTTAGCCATATCTAATTGTCTTGTTTTGTTTTGCTTTTAGTTTAGTTACTTGGTAGAGAAGAACTACATATCTACCAAAAAAAGAGAAAGCATTAATTATTGATGTGGGTTTTATACTTTTAATTTTCATTCTAATTAATAGTTATTTAACCAGCTATTAACAATGTCTTTGGAAAGTGTATTTTTTGGAGTCTATCATGTTTGAAAATCATAAAACTTTTGCAGTTGCAGATTAGATACAGTTTTGCTATTTCATTATTAACTTCCATTAGTTTACGTACAGAATGTGTTTGTCCCCGTGAATTTTATCTGTATCTGATCCAATCAATAAAATGCTGAGGAGCATGTGGCTAGCCAAAAAAATAAAACCCACCTTCCTTTGTTTTGATCTGTACTGTGGTGTTCTAAACAAACCTAAGACTCCAATGGTTATTCTAGACATATTCACATGCCTTTAAGAATTCACCTTAGAAGGGGGGAATATTTGGAACATAAGGACAGGACAAAATCTTATTATTTATTTCTTACTGTATCACTTCCACTCGGATTCAACAAAACCCAGATGAAAGTACAAAATATTTGGACAACAACAGGCAGCTCTGATTTTGATAAGTCTAAAGGAAAAATCACTCACAGAAAAAAAAACTGTTTCTTTTTTTCTGGTTTCCTAGGCTTACACCTAACCTAGGAGATTCTAGCCTTTCACCAGGGACACTGGTATCACAGACTCAAAAACTGCACTTGTGAGTCAAGGTTTTAAAAAAACCTACATTTTAGTGCGTAAGCAAAGAAAATAGAGTGAATAAAGTGTTGTTTCTGCAAGGTCATATCACTTGTTCTATTGACTAGACTGAAATTTAATTGCTGTAAAATTTCTTATTTCAAGTCTCATTAATCTAAAGCTTTAATAATCCAGTAGTCCATTTGAAAATGTACATTTCTGTAAAAATGAGATTAATTTACTTGATTTTTCTTGAAAAACTGACTTAAGTTCATGATGGGTTGGACTCATTTACTGTTTCTTTCCCAACACACTGAGATCACTGCTGGGAACCGCAGGCCCTCCTTTTATCAAAGGTCACAAAAAGATGTGGGCTGCTATCCTCAACTTCCCCATCCATCTGATTAGTGGACACTTTCAACTAATGAGTATCATCAGTGAGAGAGTCTAAGATATCAGTAACATCTCTGATCTCTCACTAATTAATTATTTTGTATGGAAGAGATTTTCTGTGAACTCTTCTGGACTGAATGTGTAGCTGGGTGTTGTTTGTCTTGCAAATAACAGGTTATGGAGCCAAGTAGTTGGCTACCTGATAGTTTTGATGAAAATTCATTGAAAATTTATTTCGTCAACCCCAAGTGGTCTCAACTGAATTGGAATTATGGAGATGTCCAGAAGGAAGGATAAATCTTATTTGTTACAGTCCTTTCTGCTTCTAAGGGCTTTCTCTCTACCAAGTTAAATTTAAAGCATAGATTGTCTGTTTGAACAATGATCAGTACCATTAATTTTGATGCTAGAGTACTCTGAGAGTATAATTTGGGGTCCTTTGTATGTGCTTCCATACCCAACTATAGTCTTACCATTCCCATTAGACAGATGGAAGGAAGTAGGAACAGATTTACCATCTCTCTTTTTCTACTTCAGTTTCTTTTGTTTTGTTTTCCACCCAACGTCCTTCAATAGGAGCTCTACTGTGGTTCATAGGATGTAAGAGATCTGATCACCCTCCTATTTTGGGAGTACAGAACTGGTTTTGTTCAAATTGGCAGAGGTCTTACAAGTAGTTGGACTTTTCTCATTGCTTAATAAAGTTTGATGACCATCAGAATTTAGTGCAAGTCAAAGACTAAAATGTTCATTACTATAGTTACTACCTGCATTTTCCAGGTAGACCTTCTACCTCAAAACCAAGGCTCTCGTTTTGATGGCTTCTATTTCTTTTTTGAAAAGCAAATTGGCACAATATTGATCTGAGTTCTTGGAGTCTACTGTAAGATGCTTCTGCTCAGCTATAAATGAAATGGTATACATCTCAGCAAAGGAATAACAATTACAAAACTCATGCTGTGACACTTAGGTACCTCTTTATGTTTGTTTGTATGTGCTGATAAACTCTTCCTACATCTTCCATTCTTCTATGAGACAATATTGTTGAATCATGGTTAGTATTAAACAGAAAAAGGAATTTTCCATGGACCACTGTGTCCACTATTTCAAAATGTCACAGGTCACACTCAGTGTCTCTGCAGGTGTAGCTTAGAGTAAGGATCTGCTAGAACATATGGTACTTTCATAGCTTCACTGTGTTTTTACACTCTGAGGGATGCCCTCATTCCTTTTTTTTTTTTCTTTTTAGCTATTTATTTTCTTATCAGTACTGCTCAGATGCTTTTGGTAAATGATTAAGAGAACATAACAAGGTGAAATAATAAACATTGGATACTAACCTATCACTTTCACTTCTTTGCTGTCAAAAATCATTTTACATCATGACTTGTTAGAAAGGATTTGTTTTAGCAAACTGCTTATTTTTAACATTAATTGTATACCCCCAGAATTAAATATTAATTTAAGATATTAAAGATATCCTTAAAGATATCCCCTCTTTTCTTCTGTCAACATTTCATTATGTAGAGAAGTAATAGCAAATGAGTACTCTTCACTTTCACTGTAGCTGATGATTATTGTATTATATGCTAAGTACTGAGTAAATAAATTTGGTTTTTTGTCTTATCTCTAGCTCGAAGTGCTCTGCATACGTGGTCACTTATTTGGATCTGATAAAAATTATTAAGCAAGCTGCAACATCAAAGTCACTTCATACGTGATCCCCAAATTACAGGAACTCAGATTTGCCAGAATAAATATGCATTAGAGAACACAGCATTAATTCAGAATGTAAGTGTGCTCAGTGTAGTTTGTCTTCAGCTGAAATCTGTGTCCTGTATGATGTGAAGAAAGACCAATATCCACAAAAGGGTTGAAATTACCACATGTACAAATAGTTACATTCTGGATGCTCAGCTTGCTTACACGTAGTGTAAGACATTTGATAGCTTATGTGAAACTTTCAAGCTGCAGTTTCAGGCTGAGTTAATTTATTAATGCCTTGCGAATTAAGCTTTCTAGGTCAAATCTATTCTTGCTGAGATGCCTTTAGTGTTACCTTTGGGACAGAGTTGGTCCACTTTGTGTTCTGACTATTTTTATAGAATATTTCCTCTAGAATTCAACAGTCTGTAGTTACCATCCACACACATAAAGGGTAACAGTAAAGAATTAATAACACATTGTGGTCATCAGTTACCATGTCTACGTACACTTATACAGTCAAAAGGCCCAATCAAAAGGGAATCATGCCTTATTAATATTGTTCTATTTGATCTGCCACTAGTTATAACTGTGGTAGAAGTCCATTTTGCATAGCAACATTCACGTTGAAGTTCTTTTGAAAATAATGTGTTTAATACCAGTGGTACAGTGAAAGGGGCTTTTCAATGTGCAAAAGAAATCTTTAGCTTGGTTAGTATACTGCTGACCTTTGGACTATAGGACAGTACAGAACTGTAACATGAAGCTGCTAGTGAAAAACCTATTCAAAATGTCTAATAAATATGATGAATGGATTTAGAATGATGCCAAAAAACACCTGTCTATCTTCTTTACATCCATTTATATTGTCAAATTTCAGATTATAGTCCCACAGACCAAAATGTAATCCTTTTGTTCGAACGTCTTTTGGAGGTTAAGCTTAACATGTCTGTAACTCTTAGAAAACCACTGTACAGGGACATGGAGATCAACACTTTTTCAATAAAAGTAGACAAATAACTTTTTATAATCTTTCAGAAAATTCAAAACTTCAAACCAAGCCTTCTTCTCTAGACTGAAGCTATTGTTAACTGCCTCTGAATCTGGATAATTACGACAACAATTATTTCTATTCATGTGGTGTTTCACATTCTTTATCATAACCTAATATACTCTAAGGCTATGTAAAAATAACTTATTTGCCACATGATTCTATGTTGCTTTTATTGTAAACTAGGCAGACATCAAGAAAAAGTCACCCCAATACGACAATTTAATTTTTGACAGTATCTTTCCCTCTGCAGTGCCTTTCCTTCCTTTCCCATAAATGCTGTAATCTGGGGGATGTAAATGTGTTTTGGAATATCCCATGAAAGCTGAGATCAGGGAAGGAAGTGGATTCCAGAAGTGCAGAACATCTCTGAGAATATCTCTCACTATATCATTTCTAGCTAAATGGTTAGAGACAGCTACTTTAGAAATTGAAATGTGATAGAGTATCTATACAAGCTTTGATCTCAACTCGTAACATGTAAGCAGATTCCTGAGCTGTTTGAAATTGATTGCAGAAATATGGCTAAGATAAAAAGATATGTAACGTCCTGATTAAGCCCTTCAACTACTTAACCTGATTCTTCTGAAATGTAAATTGTGTTATTCAGTGGACAACCAGATCGTCTATAAAATCACTTTTGAACCTTTTGGCTTCTTGCTGATGAAAATAAAGAACCTTTTTCTGTGAGCAAAAAGTAAAAAAAAAATAATAATAACACTGAAGGAGATATATCAGCTATCAATTCTGTTTTCAATCATAAACATTGAATAAAACAACATCAACTGTGACTGTGATAATTATGCACTTCAGTAGCACTTTCCTGTTCTTCCTAAGATCATTTGTTATTGAGAAGACTATTTGACATTATTGTCATGGTTTGTATCCTATGCTCAAAGAGTTTATTATTATTGTTACTACTACCATTCTTTACAGTACAATTCTCCTCAGTGATTCTCAAAATACTTTATATATATATATATACACTGAATTGTTATTGAAAAGTAGCCATTAATATGTTAACATACAGATGTTATTTATTGGTAAACAACTATGGAATAATAACAACCTTGGGAAACAAATCACCTGAGTTTTTATTCTGCAGACAAGTCCAAAACATGGGTTACAAACCTCCATTTTATAAGCTTCCATATTTAATTCATGGTGTCTTGATGACAAGGAACATGAAGTGGCATTGGCTTTAATGCCTATACTTTGATCTGTCAATGAGTTACCTGAAGACCAAAAGAAACGGCTTGCTCCAAGTACCTCTGAGCCAGAGGTAGCCTTTGCAGAGTGCAAAATTACCAGATGCAGAACAAACCAACCAACTGTTGATCGAGAAACGTATAAATGGATACAAAAAGCTATAAAGAAGTTACTTTAGCAATGGGGAAAGTTTTATTTAACTGCAGACTAATGAAGGTCAAAGTAAACCAAGCTGGTGTAAAAAGGCAGGGTCTGTGATTCAGAAATCAAAACATAGCAAAACGTTTGAACGGAACCGTCATGGATATCCCAAAGGTCTTTTTTTGTATGTCCATATAATGCTGTAAAGTGGTAAAAAAACATATAGAGTTTTCTGTCTGCAGCTTTTTGTTGTTGCTCATTTTGTACCTTTATTTATTTTTTTTTAACTTTGAACATCCTGTTTTTCTTTTTGCAGGAGGCAAATGGAGAGTCAGCAGCGTACCTGGGGTCTTAGGGCAGCTGACTGATGTTATCCCATTCACCTGGGGAATGAGCAGGAAATGGAAAAAAACCTCCAGGGAAGGATGTTTAATACAACTATCCCTTAAGCTGCCAGCTACAGAAGGTGTTGCAAGGGCTGTGACTTGAACACCTTCAGACTTCCACTGAACTAGACAGGGTTTGAATTCTACTCACAATAGATGATTTCTAACCAAAGAACACAACAAACCTGGTTTCAGTCTGGTCTCAGTCTGGTTCTTCCAGGCTACGTTATGCTGTTGCTGAAAATACCAGGCCTAGGTTTTACATCTGTGACATTAACATGAAACAAATCTTTGTCTTATGTCTTTTTTTCGGAGATTTCTGTCTATACTTCTCTATTACCTGTTTTTGCAGACAAACAAATTGTATTGATTTTGTTTTAAAGGGGGAAAAATAAATATCAGTCTTCTGAAATTTAAATTTGAAACTGTACATCTATCAACAGAACTAATTTTGGAAATAGGTAAAATACAGCCTGTACGCACAGTACAAAAGTAATCAATACTAAAGGGAGTACTAACATCTCAGATCAAATCTTCGTTGTAATGAGAAAACTGACGGCTAACTCCTTCATGCTTACCTGGCCAGAAACTGCATTTTCACAAACGAATGTTTCGTAATATTTAGGGAATTCTGGTGCATGATCATTAACATCGAGAACTTGGATATACACATTTGCTTCTGAAATTTTTTCAGGATTTCCTAATGATTAAGAAAAGACAGAAATCAAAAGCTATAAAAAGTCTGCTACATATTTTAAAGTAATGTAGACATTAGAAAATTTTACATGTATTCTGCAGAGAAGAAAATTTTTACTGAGACCTACAGACACATTTTACACAAAATCTTTTAATGAGTTCAAGTATCTGCTATACATATAAAAAAGGGCATTCTTTTTCTTTACTGAGGTTCTGTTTAAAAAAGGTGGTGGGGTTTTGGTTTTGTGTTTGTTTTTTTCACTAACCCATCATGTTAAATTATAATAGTATATCTTGAAATATACAAGGATATTTCATGTAAAATTTTGGATTTGTTCACTTTTTCATTTATCAAGTCAGAAACTGATTTAAATGTAAAAAATAAAATCTGATCTGGAAAAAATAAATGAGGTTTTGTTCACGCAGAACAATTTACTGTACTAGTCAGGTGGAAGGTTATGTGGAGGGAGAGTGTCTGCTCCTCTAAGGCTATCTGGTCAAGGACCTTATCCAATACAGCAAGAGTTGTTAAGAAAAGGAAGAAGCCATAAACATGAACTTGCAGGGACACAAACAGGGACAAATTATAAGGGAGCGGGTGATGAGAACAAAACTTGGTCAAACATGTTAATTGATGGGGGCACATGATAGTGTGAGAATGTTTATTCCTGAGAGATTATCAGATGCGAGATCTTGTCAATTGGGAAACCGAGGGAGAAAAAAGAGAAAACGGTAGCAAAATATGCTTAGACACAGACCTGACAAAGTAAACAAGTAGACAATGACAAGAAACAAACCTCATGGTAATTTGATGGGCTATCCAGAAACCACAGGGCAACAGTTCCAGGTAGATCAATCTGGACTTTGCAACTGCTAAGACTGTAAACCAGAGGGACCCCAGACCCGGAGGGGCATGGGAATCAGTGGAGCTGTACAGACCCATGGGGGACGTGCAGGGAGAAACAAAGAGGGGGCAGACAGAAGGGGGTATAAAAGGTGATGGTTGTGTGTAAAATGGGACCAGGCAGTATGCTTGTCTGGCTGAGCCCTGCTCCTGATGACCAGTCAGTCTTATCACCTTGTAATGAAATCTTTTCTTAGCTATCTGTCTGCATAATCTCAGTCTCCATCATTGTGTGTACGTGTGCTGCAGACACTGGTTGCCAGCTACTGGTGAGACCTGCATACGTGTGAGCGAAAATTGGTGTCAGTTACTGGAGTGAGTGGGAGGCACAGGGGACAAATATCTGCATCTTCCCCAAACTCGGTGTGCTTGTGTTTCAGCTAGCAAACTTTAAGTTGGACCCAACAGTGAGTTGGGGGTCCTTGAGTCCAGGTCTGGTGCTCTGGGGGGGTCCATGCTGGTGTGTTCAGGGGGGACTTGCAAATGTGGGGTGCATGAGGGACAAGCATGTGAGTGCTGGGGGTTTGCTAGCAAGCATTGACCATGCACTAGCTGGTGAGTTGGACACCATGAAGTGGATAAGAGGACCTGGGATCCAGCCAGGGATACCGGGCAGACAGAAGGTTCATGCAGGTACTGAAGGGATCCATGAGTGTGTGTGTGCTTGTGAACCTGGAGGGTGTCATGTGTGGGGGTGTGTGTGCCTGCACCAGTGACCTTCTGCCTCTCCAGCCGAAGGGGAGAAGAGGACTTGGCTGGCTGTGCCTGTGGTTTATGTGAGTCCTGTATGTAGGTGCTGCTGAAGGCACTGCCTTGCCTGTGGCAGTCTGCACGACCAGCCATGCTGGTGTCCTCCACATCTACGTCTCTGTGTGTGTATCTCCAGGACATGTGCTCAGCTTTGCTGCTGGTTGAACCCAGGCAGAGGCCTCAGGTCCCCGGGCACTGGGCTGGGCTCCGGCAGCCAGGCAGAAGGGTCCTGGGATGGAGTGGTTGGAGGAGGTGGCTGCACTTTCTTACATCACTTAACATCATGGATACCACAATGATTGGTCACAATCCTTTAAGAAATTCTGTTACTCTTCCTCTTCTTTAGTATTTTGAAATTTTAAAGCTTTGGGAGAAAATTTCACGAATATTCACATGCTCTAAAAATATTTCTGCCACTGCTAGACATGGAGCTACTGCAGTGGATGCTAATACCCAACCTAGCCAAGACAGAAAGCTGAGACTTTGAATTTTGAAGCAACAGAGCTGATCTATCCACTAGTCTCCAAACACATATTTGCAAAGAAGTCTGATTTTGCCTGGGCATGTCTAAGGCATTACTGCTGACAGACTTCACAGATTGAGCTTATAGTTTTGTTCCAAGTATTATTTTCACAACAGGTTTAATTCTTAGGCATTTTGTACTCACCCAATCCGTACTGCTTCTGGTATACAAGTACACTTTAGTACCGTGACTTTAGATATAAAAGATATGTCAGTATGGTTTATAACCATATGAAAAGGAAAATAAACTCTGCTAATATAAGGCACTTTTTTCCTGCATTTACTACATTTACACAAGGTTATAATGCTATAACTACCTCAGACAAGGAAAAGCCAGACCTCATTATACTAGTTTCACAGTACAAAAGTTGTGTGTAGACCAGACTGAAAAAAGTATCTATCCACCTAAATATCTGTCAATATCTCGATCCACCCTGTCTAAACCAGAAGTATGTCAATCACAATAATATTCACTATAATTAAAATATGCCTCATGGTGGGTGCTAGTGTCACTGCATCTGACCTGTTCAGAAGCCCTTAAGGCGTTTTCTTAAATTAGTCAAACAGACCTCTAAGAGAAAAACAAAATGTACTTTCTTCCTCACTTCAAACTGTATGGGTTTGGTTGGTTCTTACACTGCTTTTTTAATGTATAATTCACTAGTTGCTTGGAGCAAACATTTGTTTTCTTGGATCTTATGGAATCTGTGCTGATAGCTTTGAGTCTTTTGCCAAAGGAAATGGCAGCAAAAGTGACTACCACAGAGATAAAGGGCGAGATACTCAGCAGTTTCACATTACTATTCCTCCTGTGAAATCATTAGAGCCGTGCTAATTCACCAAAGCTTGTGATCTGTCAAAGTCATCTCAAAAATGCTTCTTTATGGGATGACATTTCTCTTTTGAATCCTAACATCCGTAATAATACAATAGGCAATGAAACAGTGCTCAATTTATTTTTAAACTATTCATAAAATGTATCACACATCCCTTTTAGAAATAATACTGAGAGTGTAGGACTCACTTAACCTCTTTTACTTAGGTCAAAATGGATGTGTAGGGCAGAGATTTGGCTGGATTGGCATTTATAGGAAAACTTTGTAATACTAATTAGGAGACAGGGAAAATCTTTGGTGGCTTCAGTTGTATACAAAGTCACATGGGAAGGACGCAGTTACCTTGGCCTGTTCCTAACTTACTTGTTCGTAAGATTCGTGGGTACGATATTGGCTTTAAAGCCTACCCTTTGCTTGCACAAATACTTTGGTAGCATCTTTAAGCCTGGAGCTGTCATTCACATCTGTTTTCTTTCACCAAATAACTCTTCTTTTTTATTTATTTTTGGTAATAGTCTTGTTTCAACTTCTTTACTATATTTAGCTTGTTGTGTTGCGGTTGTTTTGGTGTGTTGTTTTTTTTTTTTTTAACTCAGCGTATGGTTAAATGACAACAAAGAGCTTTTCTCATGTTGCTAGTGGAAGGCAACAGTATGGAAGTTTTTGAGTTTTCCAAAATCACAGGTGTTTTGTTTCGGGAGGGAGCAAGACATTGCAAAGCCACTCTTGGAATCACTGTCTGCTAAATATTTAATGAAGATTTTGGGTGAAGCAGAGTGACTCTTTTGGTTGCAGTTGGGGAAAATGGTAGGCAATGCTTATTTTGTCTTTTATCCCTTACATGGGAAAATAGTTGTCAGAATTTGAATACAGCTATTGAACTCTTCCTACATCAGGCTAAATATCTTCCAATGAACAGAAAATTTCTTTGTCATAATCTCTGTGAGACAAATCAGAACTTGAAAAACAAGGTCTGAGAGAACAGGATATCAAGTGCAATAGGCTGGATAAGTGTGAAAATTAAGTTGATGCTTTAATTATTAGGGACCAAAATTAGTAACTTGCTTACTTTGGAGCTGTGTGGAAAGAAAAACAGTGACCACCTCTAGAGACAAAGCAGAACTCACTACTTGCAGGGGATTAAAGAATACTGGGCATTGTCATCAACCACTAGAAGGCAATCTGAAGCAATAATAATAATAATAATAACAGTAGTACTCTTAATAATAATAGTTGTTATAATTTAGACTAAAGCAAATTTCTTTACTTCCTAAAGGAAGTGGACACCAATTTTTTTTTTATTATTTTTTTAAAAAAGAACTAATCTAAAAAAATTTGTCTGTCAACAAAAGTATCTATGACCAAAGTAGGGTGACAATTAAATAGTGAATTAATGATATGATGCGTGACTGAAACCTTCAAAGAGCCATAAGTTCTGTAATCATGTAGTAGATCTGGAATCCACTATGAAAGGACATCTGCAAGACCCAGTGGGAAAATGAATGCTGTCTCTTGCGAGTAGGTTTGCCTATGACTGGTAGTGCACTTTTCCAATGGGAATACAGAGAAATAAGGATCAGAGTACTCCCAAGCCAGGTGTTATCTTTGGGAAGTTTTGTTGGTTACCTAAGATGACCACCAGATATACAATAGAGACAAAGCTGAGGCAGATACCCCTCTTCTAAATTACTTAATTGTCAGTCAATCATCATCTGACTCAGTAAATCAATGTTAAGTAAAGCCAATGACTTATGGATTTCTTGGTCTCACATATCATTAGAATGTTGTTTGTGCTTCAGCCTTCTACTAGGTGAAAGGTGATTACAACCAAGTAAAAGTTGATCGGAGGAAACTTGATTTGTCTTCAGCTAGAACCATCTTAAGCACAAAGTAGAATAAGACTTCACAGATTGCAGGTTCCAACCATTTGCATGTAAGGTTCGATGAATTAGATCTTCTTCTGGGTACCTTTAAAACATGCTATCTCAATGGCATGAGGATAGGATGATCCAACCACAAGCCTGAAATAACAGAGGCAAGCTCCTTTTACCAACCTCTGATCCCCGTCATTGCAATGGAGGCAAAAGTCTTCTGTCCTGTAAGAATGCCAGGACATCAAAAGGCCCCTAGGGAGGTTGTTGTTGTAACGCAATTTCAATATCTCTCTCAGTTGCAATGAATATCTTGTGTGCATGAACTCTAACGGCATTTTGATTTGGTTTCAGTGGAGCCACAATGTCATCCACGAAATGTCTCATACACACAGTGTCTAGTGTGACTATATTTCAAGGAACAAAATGCTACTAGCTCATGATATAAATCATTTCAGGTATGCCCAGACCAAGGTGACCTAACTTCAATGCTTTTTAATATAGTGTTATAGATAGTGACCTTATCATCATTAAAGAAAGAAAGAATAAGAATAGGAAGATAATGAGGGCTCGGTTTCTCTACAATAACTTTCATTACTGTGAAAGACTCGCTTTCTTTTACTGCAGGAGAGACTTATTCATTTGTAACATTTTATTATTTCCTATTTTATTGTTTAACTAAACAGAAAAGTCCAGACCAAAGTCATCCTGCTGTGTTTCCATAGCGCTATTCAAGACATGACAAAAATATGCCAGAGATCAATTTTACCAACACCTGCCAGCTGTCCAACAACATGAGACATAAAACACATTCATGCTTAAAAGCTCACAGAGAAGCTGAAAAGATAATACTATCAATTCCCAAACACAAATTAAAGACTTCAATGAAAACGGCTACCGACTATCCTATATTAAACTTCTAGCGGTAATATTCTACATATGTACAGAAAATGCTCCCTTTTGGGAATGATGCAATTGATGAATATGTATTTAAAGTAGTCTTAGCAATAAATAGCATTTAACTGAGATTCAGGATTGAAAAAAACATGCTAAAAGTATTTGGCAACACCTACCTGCTTTATTGATTGGACTCTATTTTCGTATGGTTTTTACCTTCCTGAGGATGGATGTGATTAGTCTTTAAATAATATCCCAATAATCTTGATAAACTGCCTTATAAATCAGTAGCTGTTAGTTTTCTAGAGCGTTGTCCCGGAGTTAGGGGAACCAGATCACCAAAAGCACAAACAGAGGCAATTTGCATTTGACTTTCAGTCAAAAATGACAGATGAAATCTATATAAAGGGTACCTCACAGATTTAATTGTCACTGCCTAGAAGTCTAGCTGATTTAGGCCGTACATTCACAATTAATTTGAGCCACAGGTTTCTGACTGGTGTTAAATTAGACCCTCGCTAATTTCACACTAGTCAAAAATCTGGTGTGAAATTAGCCAGGGTCTAATTTAACATAAGATCTTGCACTCCAGGAGCAATTCGTATGCTTCACTGTAACTTGAAAGTGTTACAGTCTCGATCCTATTACAATTTCCGTTCTTTTTTTATAAGGTCATCTTTTATGAAAAAGCACAGGACCTTGGAGCTCAAATACATTCTCCCTCTGTTTAACTAATCATTTTAATAATGCTCCTTAATGTAGCAAGCAACAGTAATATAATGAGAAAGAAGTATGTATTCTCCACTTAAAAGAAGGCATATTCAGAGGATAATTGCAGTTCACAGTATATAAAACACAGCGTTCCTTGAATTTCTTACTCACTCGTTTCTGTGGCTGTAACAGTTATGTTGTGCCAAGAAGCTATCTCCCGGTCCAGAGGTTTAGTTGTAATGATTGTTCCATTGTGTTCATTGATGCTGAACAATTTCCTTAAATGCATGCCGTGAACAATAGAGTACCTGCACCAAAAAAAAGTAAAGAGATTCCCTAATACTGAGATGTTCCATCGGAGGTAAGGACATAGAAGGGTATTGTCAGTTGAGAAAACAGAGCTGTGCATATATACATATAAATGCGAGCTGCAACAACCCAGAAATCATGAAAAAAGTACGCTTATAAACATTTAAAATTCACTACTGCCGAGATCAAAGCTCTTCTTTTTATAAAACTAAATATGTCTCAGATCTATATTAATGTGAACTGAATCTGAAATGCATTATTCATTCTTGCTTCTAAGTCAGGCTCACAGCAGGTGAATGACTTCGTTGAAAAGAAACAGAAAAAGTGCCACTTGTGAAACGAACAACACTAACAGCTAAGTGAAGGTGTAAAGGTAAATCTATTTTATCGTGGCTGACATGCTCTGATGCCAAGGGAACGGGCATTATAAAGACAGACAGACAACTATCTGTAATGAGGTGACACCTAGGCAGGGTACAAAATCCTAATGCAGGAGATGACTGCAAACGTGTCCGGTGCTCCTGAGACTTCACTGAAAAGGTTCCGGATGCTATGTCCATACGCGGACGTGCACATGCACACGTACGTACATACGTACCATTCAAACTGTTAAAGTCTAACCGCTGCTCACAGGCCAGAGATGGACTGAAACAGACACCAAAGATATTGGTTCAAATGGAAAGGATATTCATTCATATGTGTCATGACATATTAACAAAAATACTGTATGTCACAGTTCCTAGTAGTGTCTATTTCACGGAAATAAAACCTGTTTGAAAAGCTGAAAGGTTCTTAACTTCCAAATATCCAGTTTGGAATTCCCACATGCAACTATTTGCAAGATGCAAGATTTGACATTTATAGACCTCTGTTTTAGGGATTCATACTTCAATTTCTCCTTTTTTTTTTTTTTTTTTTTTTTAATGTGAGTATTCCTCACCCTCTGTATCCAAAGCTTGTTTAGTGTTTTCTGACATTGGCATTTTGTTTTGTTTGGAGTTTTTTTGGTATTCCGATTCTTGACAGATAATTTTCAGAAAATCTATGTTGGCTATATTTAGGGGTTTTTTATTATTGATGTAGTGAGGTTTTGCTGCACGTCTTTTATTTACTTTGTTTGAAAACAGGGGTCTACAAGTCAGCACAACTGGTTTTCTACATTGTAAGCCACTGCTGTTATTTAGGGTAGCAATGGTTCCAAAGTTAGATTCGTATCTTCGGCACTTAGCCCAATAACCGTATCTTTACTTTAGAAGTGACATATTCTATTTTATAGAAATTCAGTGATGCAATATATACGTCACCGTTTTGGGACTATACATACTCACTTTATAGCAAGTTGCATCAAAATGTTTCGATCTAAGAAGTCATAGATGTGCACTATGTTTAAATGTTTTGCAGGAGATGTTGCGATCATCTAAATAAACCACAAAACAAGCCCTTTTTGGGGGCACGTGTGGGAAAGTACATGTATATTTCTACTTATTCTTATTTAATGTAACCTATGGCTAGCTTACTAAAGAGTAAATGAATGTAATAGTAAGAAATGGCCTTGCATTGACTAAACCTCTGAAGCTGTAACTACAGGTAGCAATATATATATATTTCTGGTATTAGGAATCTACATATCATAATTTCGTGTCTCATGTATTTATCCCTATATCCTAGCTTGTCTAAATTACATAGTACATTGTGATGTCAAGTATCTCAAGACGCTTTTTTAATTATAAACTCCGTGTTAGAGATTAATTACCTGTTTTCTCCCTTAAGAGACAGTGAAATTATTTTGCAAAATTAAAAGCCTGGGGGACTCTTCACATATAATATTTCTGCAGGGCAGTTATGGTAGATGTAGGGAATTGGTAATTTTTTTGTCATGCTGAGCTGAGCAGATGCCAGTGGAGCTGTTCTGTGCCTCCCTCCCAGCAATGAGTCCATCTCTCCGTATCTCCAGAAGTTACTGGGAACAGACTGGGACACCCCCAGGCATTTACAGGTTTGGCTGTGGTACCCTAGCTCTGCTGCTGTCACTGTTTAAAACATTATCCCATCTCAATGTGATTGCAGAGATGCACAAAGAAAGATGATTTATTTAGATCTGAGGTTAGAGGTCAGGATTTAACCTACTGTACTGGTTTTGGCTGGGATAAAGTTAATTTTTTTCACAATAGGTTTGATGAGGCTATTTTTTGGATTTAAGTTGAAAACAGTGCTGATAACACCGGGATGTTTTAGTTATTGCTGATCAGGGCTTATGCAGAGCCAAGGCCTTTTCTGCTCTTCACCCCACCAGCGAGGAGGCTGGGAGGGCACAAGGAGTTGGGAGGGGACACAGCCGGGATAGCTGACCCCAATGACCCAAGGGATATCCCATACCATATGACGTCGTGCTCAACAATAAAACTGGGAGGGGCTACTGTTGTTTGGGGACTGGTTGGGTATCAGCCAGCTGGTGGTGAACAATTGTTTGGGGTTTTTTAGTATCATTTGTTTTTCTTGGGGTTTTGTTGAGGTTTTTTTTCCCCCTTTGTTATTTTCTTTGTTTCTTCTTTTTTTACTATTAAGCTGTCTTTATCTCAACCCATGAGTTTTCACGCTTTTACCCTTCTGATTCTCTCCTGCACCCCAATGGGTGGAGCAGTGAGCAAGCAGCTGGGTGGTCCTTAGTTGCCTACCGAGGTTAAACAACAACACCTAGAATAACCCAGGCTATCAAAATGAAAGCGTGGTTAACTGTAATCATGAGGCAGGGTAAGGAACAGAAACAGCCTTTGGAAATCCCAACTACATTTACATTTGAGGCCTGTTCACATTTTAAGTTAGGTACCTGACTGGGCAATCATCGTCATCTGGATCTCTAGCCGTTACAACGCCCACCACTGAGCCACTCATAGCCCCTTCAGCAATCTCCATCACATAGTTCTCCAAGGTGAAAACTGGAGGTTCGTTAGCATCTTCAACATTGATTTTTACAATGGTTTCATCTTCAAATGGTCCTTCGTTCAGAAAACGGTCATCAATGTACCTGTTTACAACTTTTGCTCGAATACTGTATCTCCTCTTGCTCTCATAATCCACTCTCTGTTAAGAACGAAAGTGAGAAGTGGAATATTTCTTTCTTCACATTTGAATTAAATACAGTTCAATAAGCGGTGTGAATTTAAAGACAAAATAGTACTACTTTTCTTTTGGGAATATTTCAAAAGCAGTTACTTCCAAGATTTCTTTTTTATGTTAAAAACACTTTAAAACTAATCGGTGCTATGCCGTTGTTTGCTTTCACATGTAGGCTGGCTTTAATGTTAAACACTGTAAAAGAAGTCTTCGCATAGAACGTCACCCCTAAGAAAAACAACTACTTCTATTAGTCCTTGTCTTTCCAACATAGGTGTAACCTTAGTGGACATTATTCTTTACTCTTACACAAACAATGTAAATCAGTTAATCTGTAGGGGTGAAGCTGAGTATGTTAAAATTTAGTCTCTAAAGGGAATAAATTCCAGAAGGCAATGACGAGTGTTTAATAAATACAGTCACACTACTATTTTAAATAGTCGTTATGTTCTGTAATTTAAAAACCATGAAATTCTAAATAAATACCTTCCTGAATTGTAATGAATCCAAATAGAAAAAAAAAAAATTCATCAAATTTATAGCATTCAGTTCTTCAGGATCCTGGAGTTCACTAGACTATCAAACTCCACCATCATTTCAGATGATGACCCAGATGACCCAGAAATCTTCCTATGTGATTCCAAAATAAATCACACAGTATCAAAGCTTCTTAAATATCTTAATTCATGAAGTGGTGTCTTTTTGAGTGTATTTATTGTCTTTTCAAAGCTATGTCATAACAAAAACTGTCTAACACTCTAACGCACTCTGGCTTCAGTTAAGTTTAACAAGAGTTGTTGGAAGTGAGGAAATACTGTGTGCAATTTATTGATAAAGATTTCACAGATGATGCACAGAAGAGAGAGAACATTTTCTCACAATGGGATACACTGTACTGCACAGCTAGGAATAATATTAAGATACTTAGACTGTGACTATTGTGTTCAGCAGAATAGGAATGAGTTAAAAAAAGTAAACAGAAGGAAAAGCATGTTTCTTTTTGTCCCTCTAATATCCCAATCAAATCACAAAGCCTGAAGAAAGAAAAAATAGTACAATCCAAAGCAATAGACCTTTTTTAAACACACAGCTTGCTTGAGGAGATTCTTTCCAGTACTTAGAGATTTTTTAGAAGGTTTCTGAGATCTCACCTTTTTTAATAAGATAATTCCTTCTTGAGTCTCATTGTTAGTAATGATGTCAAAAACATCTGAGTTATCTTCTTCAATGAAATAGTTCATGGCTGCATTCTCCCCTACGTCGCTGTCTTCTGCGAAGACTTTGCCTACAGTAGTGCCCACAGGAGCCTCTTCAGACACATTCATATAGTAGAGTCCTAAAGAAACCGATACTGGCACAGTTTAGTGATCTGCCATGGCTAACAGCTGCTGTAGCTATGATGGCTAGAGGCTCTCAAAAACCTGGGGAAAGCCCCCAGCTTGTATTAGAGCAATGGATCCAATCCAGCAATGGGTAGTTCTTGGGGGGAGGGGACAACGACCTTTCCACTCGTGATTCCTCCCCTCTCAGCCCCATTTTAGCAGTAAATAAAGAGCTAAGGAAAAAAAGATAACGGTTTTAAACTAAAAGGGAGTAGATTGAGAGTAGATATCAGGAAGAAATTTTTTACAATGAGAGTGGTGAAACACTGACAGAGGTTGCCCAGAGAGGTGGTGGATGCCCCATCCCTGGAAACATTCAAGGTCAGGTTGGACAGGGCCCTGAGCAACCTGATCGAGTTGAAGAGATCCCTGCTCATTGCAGGGCGGTTGGACTAGACCTTTAAAGGACTCTTCCAATCCAAACAAATCTATGATTCTATTCTATGATCCTGCGATTCGATGAATCAACAGGGTGAAAAAACAGTGGAGGGCAGCACTTCCCAACTGCATTTCGTTAGTTCCCCCTGACAGCCTGTCTAGTCGCTCCCACGTCTGCTAGTAACTGCCTGGACAGAGAAGGTCACATCATCTGCCAAAAGGTTTACAGTATCTGTCAGCAAAGAACGAAGAGAGGAGAAAAAGAAAGAAGGTATGTGAAAATGGTACTAAATATCCCGTTACTCAGATTTTAGGCTTGGGTAGAGCAAACTACATAGAAAGTCATTTGTCTCCAAAGTCTAGCCCTAAAAACAGCAGACCCGAGGTCTTTTGTAATGATAGGTTTTCTTTTCCTCTTTGTTTTTGAGCTTTTGTGTGGGATTATTTGATTTTATTTTTATTTAAATCTGCATGCTGAAGTCAAAGCACAGATCTGTTCTGAAAAGACCTACCAGTGAGCTTAACAGAGCTACAGTAGATCTAAATTTCCTCATAATTTCAACAACTGTAAGTAGCCTATACTCACGCTGTTGAAATTTAGGTGGATTATCATTGATGTCGGAGAGGTTGATGGTAACAGTGGCTGTTGCTGAAAAGGCCCCTGCTTGCCCAACCATATCTTTGGCTTGGATGATGACCAAATACTGATCTTTTGTTTCTCTGTCCATTTGGGAAGCCATTCTGATGACCCCTAAAAATGAAAAGTCTAATGTCATAGCATGTAATAATCCCATTTTTTCCAACATCTGACCATATAATATGATATAAAATGCATCACTGGACACAGTTATGAATTTACATTCTAGATCGCACACAGCACAACTGTCCTAATACTGGGAATTAGTACTCATGGTAACATTTACGCTGTATGACAGATCCATTCTACACACTTAGAGTTCCAGAGAGCAGACCACACCATATATCTCTTCTACCATATATAACCATATTTCTTCTCCAGAACTCAGGATTTTGGAGGGATGTCACATATCTGTGGTTTCTCCAACACAGAGACAGGAATGTCACATAAAGAGTTGTAGAGCTGTTAACCCAGAAATGTTCCTGGATCCATTTGTTGGATGGGGTACTCAGAATCCAACTCTTTTCTTTAGCAACATAATTTGCTAAATAAATTGTCAATTCTCTAAAGAGAAAGAATTTCAGATTCCTATGGGAACGAAAGAATTAAATTTTTTTCAATCTAGGAACTATGCAAAGATGTACAAGTGTAAGGTGGTATCAGATGATCTCTGTGTTGAACTGAGGAAAGGCATTTTTGCTTGCAACCATTTTATGTTCATTTACGAATGTTTTCAAGTTACACGATCATTTGTAGTACCTGTCTTTGGCTCCACAGAGAAATACGGCTGTCCCTGAATGAGACTGTAAAGCAGACGGGCACTATTCCCGTAAGAAGGATCATCACCATCTGTAGCTGTTACCTGTGTAACCGAAGTACCTCAAAGACAAAAATAAAACCAATTATGTTTATTTTCTTCTTGTATAAATTATGTTGTAATTAAAAAATGTAAACTCTTTAAAAACCTTTCAACATATCAGTTATATTAGCAAACAGTCTTGAAAATTTACAGGAGCAAATGGCACCTTCTAAAATTTATAATTAAAAAGGAACATTTTTCCTCAGCAACTACTCTTGTTGCATTCAAATTTTCAATTCAAATAAAAATGACTAGCATATGACTTTTCAGCATTATATTTATTGCTTAAAATACTGTGTGTATTGTATGCCTTTTTCCCTAATTTCTGATATGGGAATGGAGTACAGCAAATTGTTTCTCCTCTCCTTGTATATTCTTCAAAGTATTTTATGGAAGTTTCCTATGGGAATAGGAAAACACAGCCACTTTATCACCAGCAGGCCCACTGGTGATACAGAAATTAATTGTTAGCAAGCAAAGCAGCCAAGAAGTACAACAAGTCTCTGATAACACTTTTTATCCTTGAGTCTTTAATGAGCCTGTCCCAGTGCAAGAGTGACAGAGGAATCCCCAGTGCAAAAACACAGCAGAATCAATCTGCAGAGTTTGGTTTCGTCTCTGGCTGGAAGCTGGTTATATCCTAGACATAAGATTGACAGCAATCTCGTGGCACCATCAGTGATGACTGTCCTTTAAAACAAAATATTCACAGTAGCATAATTTTGCAAGGTAACCATTATTTTCGTCTTTTTTCCTCACCTAGGTTCTGCATAAGAATACAAATATCACTTCTTGTGAGGAACAGCGGGAAATCAAGCTACTTTCTAAACTTTTCTGGCATACGTTCACATGGTTGCACCTGCTTACCAATACAGCTGTATAGTTATGCTGGAGGAGAAAAGAAGAAGAAAGGATGGAATGCAAGGAGTTAGACCAGAAACATCTTTTTTATGACAAACATGAAGTTGAAACATATTCCCAATAAAACAAATATATTAATTTCTGAGTTTTCTAGCAGTTCAACAGTTTTATTTTTAAATAGAAATGAAGAAGGCATTTTCATATAAGGATATGCTGAATGAAATATTTTGATTATTTAAAAAAATATTTTTTTGCATTTTCTTTCAATTTATTTAGTAGCACTTTAGATGATTCCGTAATGCATGTTATCTTCTCTCAGAGTGGAAGTACACTAAAATGTTATTAATTGCCAGCAACTTTTGAAGTTATATGTCTTTCAAAACTTACCTACAATACCAAACTTCTGACATTTAGGTGTGTATTAGATGTGTGTATAGATGTATACATATATATTCTGCTCCTTGTTGCTCTGGAGAAATGTTACAGGTAAAATGACAGGTTAGTATTTCATAAGGGCACATATATGCTTCAGAAATAACAGCCCCGCCCACACTGAGTCAGAGCTGCCATGGCGACCAGTCACCAGTGGTGTTCCTGAGGGCTC